AAAAAAAAAAAAAGTGTCTATTAATGTCGATTATAATAAAGCTTTGTTTAATATATATTCATGGGTCTATTGTTAAATTACCAGTATTCTAAACTTTTTATCATTTATATGGCAATCTTTTAACAAAATGTTAATTTGCATGTTGCATCCCATTGTTTATTTTCTTGGTTGACACACTTTGTATAAAAAAGCTTTAATGGGTCCCTAGGGACATGTAATAATGTATAAATTGTGGTTTTTCGACTGATAATTTTGTAAATTGTGCAATTATCCATTTTTATCCCCTGCTGTACATTAAATTTTGTTGTGTATAACTTATACTTATTAACAGTATAAATCTTTGATTTGTAAACATTTTTTTAGATATAGTTGATAAAAATTAAACTTGAATAGATCTGTATAGCATGTAAAACAAAATAAAAAAACAAAAAAAAATCGTTAAATGTATGTTTACAAATCTGAGAAAAGTAGTATTTACCCTGTTGGTTTGGATTGCATATACATAGTTTGAAATTATTTTTTATTATTTGTTTTATTTTTATTAACGATAATGTTTTTGGCTGTAGCAGTTCTTAATGAATGACATTTGAGCGTGTATATATGGTAATATATAAATTTTGTTATACAAATCTTTTATCATAAGTTTCCTTTGATTTCAAAATACAAACGAAAAACTACTTTATCCATGTGGAAAATCCACTTTTAAAAATTATTAAATACATGTGTACTAATCCAAAATTGGATGAAATGATTTTGAAATAAACTCAACTGCTCTTTTTATTATAATTCAAATTGCAAACACATCCATTTGTTTTTTAGTTAAACTGCTGATCTATTCTTGACCATTTGGTTATTTTCGTAATTTCTCTCATGATTAATATAAAAAACAATTGTAACTAGACAAGAGAAACATTTGTTGAAACTTTTCCTTTATTATTGATCTTGCATTGAATAAAGAATGAAAAAATCACTAAAAATTTATAGATCCCCTCTACCAAAAGAAAAAAAAAATTACGAATTTATTATAACAAAAGTAAGAAATAAAAGCCATTGAAATAGTTTGGAGTAAACTAGATTGGTTTGAGAAATTTGAAATTAAAAGAATGTCCAATTAAACATAGAGATAAATGCTGATGTGTTTGTAACTCCTTCAACCTGATGATGAGCGTTTAATACTCGAAATCCGGATTGTTGTGAACAAAAAATGTGTGGGTAGAACTATTATTTACAAAAAGCGAATCTCCATACCACACCTTCATCATTTCTATTAAAGGTCTAGAATGTTCTGAACTTAAGCCTAAAAGTAAAGCGAAGCATGCGATATCATGCTTGCAGTACTTGAGTAGAGGTAGGGGTGAGCGTGCTTTCATTACCTCGCTGGGAGAAGCAAGAGTGCGATATCACCTCACCGTACTGAAAGGGTTAAGAGTGATACAAACATGCCACAACTGTAATTTTTATAGCTCCTGTGTTCATTATACAATATTAGTTGATCTTACTGTATATGTACATAATTAATATTTTTCATTGTTTTGGTGAATTAATTTTTTACTTACACAACAATGAATTTCATTTTTTCCGTCAAGTAACATGAGTAAATGATGATTTCCATTTTTTTTCAGAATGTAGTTTAGACTTTTTTTTTATTCACTGGATTTTTATTATTATTTATAGTGATGTATCAGTCCTGAGTTTTTCACTTGTTTCATTTTTTGAATGAAAATCGTTTTTAATTTGTGGTAATTGAATTGTTCTTGCCCTTCAGCAAGAACAATCTGTACAAATGCATGTTTTTCTCTGCTATTTAACAAATTTGGTAAGAATAACATACACAAAACCAAGAGATTGAGGTTTATCTTATTTCGCACTTTAATTTATCAAGGTTTGAAAACTAATTAAGATGAAAAGAATTATACTTATGAATTCCAGAGTACAAAACAGTTACACTTTGATAAATTACTTAGTTTAAAAAATTCTATAAATGTATTAATTTTTTCATTAATGTCAAACTACCCGTTTTAGAGGTCAGATCATTTTACAATACTTGTTTTCCGTTAATTACCATATAAAATTCCAACAGCAATGCCAGGATTTGAACACGACTGCTAGTGTGGCTAGCTAATACAATTATCAGATGCCATGACGAAGTGGTTTGTACATAGACATTATTTTTCATTGAAACTCATCTCTCAAAATATTCTCAGACAAAGTATAATAAAAAATTTGTTCGTATGGTAATGTATATATGTTTCTCTCCCTTTCTCAAGAAACACACTTGTAATATTTCAATGATCAGAAAATTTCGATATAGATGTTTTAGGCTAGATACACAATTTTTTGCACGACCATTGCTGCACCAATGATATTGCATTATTAGGGAGTGCCATGGGATTAGGTTAGGTGAGGTGAGTTAGGGAAGTTAGGGATATGCTAGATTAATTTAGGCGGAGTTAGGGTTAGGTTACATATTCTGGAGACAATGTCGTTAACAAGACACGGAGAAAATATGTGAATTTATCTCATATATTGTTTATAAAAAATCGAAAAAGTAAAATAATTTTAAAAAACCATTAATCCATTTTTTTATTATCAAGTTATGAACTTAATTTGTTGTGAACATTTTTGTGTTGAGAATGTTTTTTTTTTCTTTTTTACGAGGGTTCGCAACATCAGAGGTCATATAAACCCTCAGGGTGCCGGTGTTTTTGAAAAAAAGCCCATTTGTAAGTATGTCGGGTTCGAATGCAGGGCCGCTGGATTCGAAGCCGGGACCTTTACGTTACAGTGATGAGCGCCATGTCAAAGACTAAACCTTGCGGCCACCGACGCCCCCTTTGAGAAAGTTTAGTTCAGTTGACCGTATTTAAAAAAAAAAAAAAAAAAAATGCAATAAAATTCCTCTAATCCCACCAAATCCAGGAAAATCTGTACATTTTTAAAAGGAAATCAAATACATCATAGACATATTGTATAATTTAAATTTCTATCGCTAAGTAGAAAGCCAACACACAAATTTCAATAAATGAGAATATGCCAGTTGATACCTCTGTCTTTTTAACATGGCTTTGTTTTTGTGACTCATCTTTTCTTGCATGACCATTTTAACATTACTGTACATGGTTTGGGTTAGGGTAAGGATTGGAGAGAGATTATGCTAGGTTAGGTAAGATTAAGATTACAGATGAGTTAGGTAGGGTTAGAGATAGATTAGCTACACTAGGTATGGTTAGGGGCAGATTAGACTAGGTTAGGTAGGATTAGGATTAGGGACAGGTTTATACACAATATACCAATCATGTTCGTGCTGTGCAGGTCATAAAGAGGTCTCTAGGGATTAGGTTTTTATTACATAGGGTAGGGATGGGTTAGGCTAGGTTAGGTAAGATTAAGATTACAGATGAGTTAGGTAGGGTTAGAGATAGATTAGCTACACTAGGTATGGTTAGGGGCAGATTAGACTAGGTTAGGTAGGATTAGGATTAGGGACAGGTTTATACACAATATACCAATCCTGTTCGTGCTGTGCAGGTCATAAAGAGGTCTCTAGGGATTAGGTTTTTATTACATAGGGTAGGGATGGGTTAGGCTAGATTAGAGTTACTATTAGATGAGTTAGATTACATATTCATGATTCTTTTGCTTATTTACTTTTTTCACAGAAATAATACTAAATGACTTCTGTTTAATGTTTTGCCGAGGTTTTATTTAAAGGGTAAAATCAATTTAATATGGTATTCGTGGCAATTTTTTTCATAGCATGTCAATTATGCACTCTGAAATCTTACAGTGTTTTTTATTTTGTTAAACATGGTGAGGTCTGAGGTTTTGAGCATTTAGTTTGATCATGTCAAATCATCCTGTCCTCCTCAAGTCAGTTTGTTTTGGGCTCAAATTTCCAGTGAAGTTCCTTTCTTAATAATCCAGCATTTTAAAGTAGTATTTAATAATTAATCTTTTTATGTAAGGTTTTGGTAGAAATGAAAAAGCCAGTGTTACAAGCGGGATTCAAACCCACGACGTTCAGCTCAATCCGCCGCTGCTCTAACCACGTGAGCTATCTTGACTTCAATTCGAAATGTATGGTTGAAATTGGTGTCCGAGTGGATCGAAGTCACGATAGCTCAAGTGGTAGAGCAGCGGCGTATCTAGCCGAAGATCATGGGTTCGAATGTGACACTGGCTTTTTCATTTCAACCACAAAACCTTCCATAAAAAGATTAATTAATTGACAGAAGTAATTTGGTCAATAGACCACTAAATATAATGGAATTAAGTAGTATTTAATGCTTTTCTCTCTCAATAAATCAGCCCTGTTTTCTGCTTGTACATTACATATTGATTATTACAGAGCATTGCAACATACAGACAAACAGATTAAAAGAACACCCATACCACCAAATTGTGGCAAAATGGGGAACAAAGCCTGACAGACAAAGTCAGTACTGGCAGTCTAGGACAGCCACATAACTTTGCGGCGCAAAAATGTGTATTAGCATTGTGTTTATAAATAAATTTAAAAATTACATGCAGTAATAAATAATTTTAAAGGATGAATTACACGAAAATACAATAAAATAAAAAATTGTTGACAAGAACCTGGCAGTATACAATATGTAAATAAAATACGTTTTGGCATAACCATAGACAATTATTTCAAATGATTTTTTTTTCAGTGATGTTTTTTCATCATGATTTGTTTAAATTTAAATATAAGTTATGAACAGTAATAAAGATTCTAATTCTTGAGTTTTTTTTTTTTTTTTTTGAAAGGGAATAAAAGTTTCCTGCTAGCTTAATATGCAGTTTTAATTCAAAATTAACACAAAAATGATGTTAATAATGGTGGTTGCAGGTAATATGGAACTTGGTGGTTCCAGCCTCCTTAAGAAATATATATTTACTTCCTATTTCTATATATAACTATATAAATTGGTATTAATTAGTTATTTGCATATTTTATATTTTACCTTATATTCAATAAATTCCATATTTGATTTTAGGCAAGTTCTAAACCTGTACTTAGGAATGTTCAACCAATTAAAACACAAATTTTGGACCAAACGACTGGGATTGATCCAGTTATGTTGCAGAACTGGAATAGTGATAAGGATTTTGAATCTCCTGAGTCTCCTCCATCATTTGAAAAAGCAGGGATTTCTAGGCCTAACGATGATGTTGATATGAGAATAAAAGACATTGACCATAGAAATCTTATAAGTCTTACTAGTCGATCTCCAACAGGATGGTCTCCAATATCAGCATATGGGGATGAAGTGTTAGCAATGAGTCCCGATGATAACAACGTAGGAAGTATCGATATGGACTTGAGCGATGATGATGACAAAAAACCAGTTGGAAAACCTATTGAAGATACATCAAAAACTTCTCAGACACACAATTTACACACACCGGAAATGTTACCAGAACAAAACCCGTCTTTTTTCACCTCACCGATGTTACTTCTTCCTCCACCTCCACCTCCATCACCGCCATCACACAGTGTTCAACCTCCGCCACCACCTCCTCCACTACCACCCGTGATTTCTCCTTCTACACCGGTATTAAAAGGTTGGTCTCAGGCCGGTACAACCGAGTATCCGAGAAATCATAGCGACAGCTTCCCTTCGATGTCTGTGCCACCACCTCCTCCTGTTCTACTGACGAGTCCGACTCAGAGGCAATACCAGAGCTATGAATCAAGCACGTCTTGCTCGCCTGTTACGGCAAGCCCTTCTCTCAAAGCTGGATCGATCTCACCTTATTCTCCAGTACATGTTCCTCCTCCTCCTCCACCACCACCTCCTCTCACTCCCATACAATACAGGCCGTTGCACATGAACCAACCTAATTTTTCTCAACGCTTTTCCAGATACAGTTCCGATTATACCAGACCGGGTAATATAACTAGGCCCACTTCAGTGACAGATTATAACCATAGGTCACAATCAATATCTTCGTACAATTTAATAAATTGCGATGGGAGATTAAGGCCAGATGAGTCGCCCCCTTTTAATTCTGGCCATCCTAATCAGTACAATCACCCCGTTCCTTCGTCATATGGAGGTGTCACTCAAAATAATAGGCAAAATGCAAATTTGATACCCACAGACAATTTACCTCTTTATTCACAAGCACCACCATTTAATACTCTTGTGCCTGGTAATGGAATAACACCATCACCGGAGAACAATAGGTTGAATTTACCGCAAACAAATATGAATCAAACAAGTCCTAGGTATAATACTGGTGCAAATATTAGAGTTGTTAACACAAACCAAAGTTCGTTTAATCCTAGAATTCCTCATTTTAATTCGATGTTACGTCCGAATATTAACAATCAACAATTTCCAATTCCTCCACGTCTACCCCACTCAAATCAAAATAACAAATTTTCAGGGTTTCACAAATGGTCATAAAGTGATTTTTTTGCTACATCTTTACCTTTTTTCTTATTGTATATAAAATTGTTGATTATAGTACATTAATGGATTGTATAAAATAATTATAAAATGATTCAAATTGTACAAAGGTGTAAATGATTTATTTGAATTATGCCTTAGGACAAGGATATCTTTGGTGATTAAATTTAAAAGAAAATATATATTAATTTTACTTCATTGAAATTTTTAGGACTTTTATAATTTATGTTGTTTTTTATTTTTATTTTTTAAACCCACTATTAAATTTCATTAATTCAATTTCAATTGGGAGTCAACGTTTAAAATGATCAAACCAAGAGACTAATTGTAGTTTTCGTCTTTTATAGTGATATGCTACTAAAAATGTTGAAATTTTCTAAATTTTTTCACCATTGTTGGAATAGTCAACGTACATTCAGTTTTGGCAATTTTACGATAGCCAAGTGTTCAAATGTCAATGTTTAGCTGAATGAATGGGTTTTTACAAATTGAAAAAATTTTAAATGTATACTATTGTTAAACTCTAAAAGAGCAATTTCTTTAAATTTTACCACCGGATTGTGGAAATAAAAATATAAGTGGTACAATTACTTCAGTTGAAGCATACATGTATAATGCATAGATATATTTTATAACATTAAATTATGTTTTTCCACAAAGTCGTATTTTATATTTTCCTTCTCCTCACACAAGAGTTTCTAGTAAAGCTGGTGCCAAAGAATCCTTGTCAGTAGTAATAAATTTGTAAATATATCACAAATTTTGTGAGCTCCCATTAACCAACTATTAATTAGAATCAAATGTTTATAACTTTTGTATATGAGATTGTTTACAATTGTTATACTATTATAGTCATTGACTGAAAACATGAGCTTTTTTTTGTATTCATCATATATGAAAAAAAAAATCAATTCTTGCATTGGTGATTTTTTTAAGTTTAAACTAAAGTTGTAATTTTGGCATTTGCAAAAAAATTTTGTTTAATAGAAATTTTAACAAAATATTTATCGATAAACAAATTGTACAAATTTGACTGCCTTATTGTTAAATAGTGAAATAAAATATTAAGAGAGAACTTTATTTTTACAGGTTGTTTTTATCAATTACTCAACCTAGTTCACTCCTGTTCAAAAAATTTATGTGCTATATACAGGGTGAATTGCTACTCGTGCTACAAACTTCTCCAGTAGATTCTTCACCCTAAAATGAACAAAAAAGTTCATATTGTCCATGGTCCGATTCTCAACCATTTCAGAGTAATTTCGCTTTTTATCGATTTTGAAAGATATCACGTCCTGGCGTCGGAAAATCGTGATATCTTTTAATCTAAACATTTCTCTGAAAATCTAATAGCACCGTTGAAATTCCCGTTAATTTTTCAATAAGAAGATGACGGTGGCAAAATGTTTGGGCTAATTTTTTGTGTTTTATTTCAGCCAGAACTACAAAAAGAGTGGAAAATTGTGTAAATCGGAAAGTGTATAAAGTAATCCAGAGTTTCTAATTTTAGTCTCAGAAGGCAGCAAATTTGAGGAAAACTACCTGATTTAATAACGCTTCCAACGCACTCGTCATTTTCTTATTTAGTGGTTGTGAGACCAAGATGTTGATGACAAAAAGAGAAAAAATGGTGGTTCAAGGATTGCTAATGTTTGAGAGTGACTTGCTACTCGTGCTACAAACTTCACCAGTAGATTCTTGACCCTAAAATGAACAAAAAAGTTCATATTGACCATGGTCCGATTCTCAACCATTTCAGAGTAATTTCGCTTTTTATCGATTTTGAAAGATATCACGTCCTGGCGTCGGAAAATCGTGATATCTTTTAATCTAAACATTTCTCTTAAAATCTATAAGCACCGTTGAAATCCCCGTTAATTTTTCAATAAGAAGATGAAGGTGGCAAAACGTTTGGGTCTTTCTTCCTTGACCTTCTAGCTGTTTGTAAACTTCTTAAGCATTACATACTAAATGGGCATTAAATTAAATTAAAAAATTTCAATGGAATTATGATTTTGATTCTCTCTAAAAATTAACGGGGATTTCAACGGTGCTTATAGATTTTAAGAGAAATGTTTAGATTAAAAGATATCACGATTTTCCGACGCCAGGACGTGATATCTTTCAAAATCGATAAAAAGCGAAATTACTCTGAAATGGTTGAGAATCGGACCATGGACAATATGAACTTTTTTGTTCATTTTAGGGTGAAGAATCTACTGGAGAAGTTTGTAGCACGAGTAGCAATTCACCCTGTATATATATTTTTTTTTTACTACAAAACTTTACAACTGTAAGGTCATATAAACCCTTGTCCTTCCTCTGAAAGAACCCATTTGGAAGTACGTTGTGTTTGAAATCAGGACTGCTGAGATTTGAACGGTGAACCTTCTAGGGATGAGTTGCTGGGTCACCATTTCAACCACCACTGCAAAGTAGCCCAAAAGCAGCATAAAACAGTAAAACATATAGTCTTCAAATCTGGTTATTAAAAAGAAAAATCGTTCCTATCTGTCAAGGAAAAATCAAACGTTACATTATTTGTCAACCTGACAAGGGTTTTGGAGTGTGTGAGTATTTACAGACTTAACAGCCCTAGAAGATTCATTGTTGGGTTGTTGCCTGATCCCACAGAAAAACTACAAAATTTTAATCACCGATATCTTGAAGCCAGGCAATACAACTAGCAGCATTAATCATGGTCTTAAGAATACACTTGTTAACTTTATTTTTGTTCAATTTTCGAACAAAGTTGGTTGACGATGCTGTAAATTAGGTGCAAAAAAGTTAAAGGTTAAAGAAATAATTTGTCTTAGCTTGGAGATCTCTTGAAGCTTTTTTATAGCCACGAACTTGTAGAAAAACTGAATTAATTTACATTTTTAGGGCTCATATATGCGTATAAATAAAATCTATATTACTTAAGAAATACTACACTGCAACATACCTAAAAATCTGATAAAAAGTCGTAACTTTAACCTGGAGAGCTGTAGACAATAATGTAGATTGCACAATGAGGGTCATAAAAGCTTAAACTACTTTTGCTTTACAAACTGCAAAATGTTGGCAGTAAGTAAAATGTCGGCAGACTCAAGAATCACCCACTTCCGGGTGTTGGCAGTCTGGGGTCAGACTTTATCTTATCCGTCCAGCAACCGAGCTTGGGCTTCAGGTGATCTATCAACAGATAGAATAATTCAGCATCATAATTTTGGGTTGATAGAAATGTAATTTATTATAGTTTTGATTTTGTGAAGAAAAGTATATCAATGGGAAAATACCAAAATAGTATAACTAATAATTTTCATTCTTGAAGTCAAAATAAAATATCTTTGAAAAGAGGTTTTTGCTGCCTCTGATCCACTATTATACTAATAAACTATTTTGTAGATTTTAATAAAATCTAGTCCCTTTACTTAGGCAATACTCTTGCCTTGTTTAAAGTTATTTTAAATTTTTTGTAGTATTTTGTATATACAAATTGGTTTGCTACTTGCTGAAAGAGGATATAATTGTCAGAAAATGATTTTCAGAATACAAAATCAACTAAATTGAACCTAAATTAAGTTAGGTAGGGTTAGAGAACAGTTAGGTTAGGTTAGGTAAAGTGGGCTAGAGAAGGTTAGGTGAGATTAAGTTAGGTAGGGTTAGAGAACAGTTAGGTTAGGTTAGGTAAAGTGGGCTAGAGAAGGTTAGGTGAGATTAAGTTAGGTAGGGTTAGAGAACAGTTAGGTTAGGTAGGAAATAATGCTTCAAAAAATATTAAAAAATTATGTTTATTAAAACAAATCAAGAACAATAAACTATAAACAAGTCAACAAATGTATAATACATTACAATTGAGAAGAATATTGTTTGACAAAATTGAAATACTCAACATTAAATTTTGGCGATATGTGTAAACATTAGACATTAATAAGTAATTAGACATTTTTTAATAATATTTTTACCTATCATCATCTATCGTAACTTATGTTTAACTTGTTATAGGTATAAAAAATTGTTATATATAGCAATTAAATATCAAACAATTCCTGGCTTTCAGTCTTTAAGTCTAATCCTGATGAGTTAGAATTAAAACATTTTACATCTTAACAATACATTTTAAAGCTTTGCCTTCATCCCACTAAATAATATTTACATAATGACAAAGAAAAAAACCCAATAACATTAAAATTATTTCATTTATTGTATTAATAACACAATTAATAATTATCATGAATAATAGTAGAAGTAATTGTAATAAATATAAAACATTTCAGGAGACTGGGAGGAAATAAATAAAAAAGGGGGTTTAGGTTTGAAGGTAAAATGAAAAATTAATCCATTTTTGAGGAAGTTGTCGGTTGCACTGCTTTTACAGTGAAATCACCATAGCCCACAGCACGTTTTCCCTAAATAAATCAGTTCAAGTTAATTTCAGGCTGTAGATTTTGGCAAGTAAATAATTTTTGCATATAATAAAAAATTGTTTTTGGAATAAATTATTATTTTCAGTTTTGTATCATAATAATGGGGAATTGGCTCACCTTTTCTATGTATGCTTGAGCATAGAAATTTCCAAAAAGAACAATAAATGAAATCATATAAATGACAAGTGCATACTGCATCCATAGAGGGAAATCACAGCCAGACCTGATTCCATTGATTCCAAGAATCAATGCTGTTGTAAACTGAACCTAAAAAATAAACAATTATTAAACAATTAAATTCATATCCAAGACAGTAAATGTTTTTAGTGTATTTAATTTCATCGGCAGAAATAAAATGTATATGTACAAATTATTGATTTATTTGCAGGCTGAATCATGCCCAAAAAGGCCAATTTTGAAATAGTTTCAATATATTTTTCACATATAGGATAATTTGTAACTTACCAATTGCAACATCGTGAGATATTTCTTCCACCAGAGGTACTTGGCAATGTTGGGTCCAAGAGCGGCTAAACCGTAGTAACCGTACATGAGGACATGGATGAACGAGTTGACCATTGCCGGGAGAAATGTGGATCCGCTTGGAACCCATTTGATACCGATCCACCAAAGGGAAAACATGGTCGAGTGGTGGTAGACATGAAGGAATGTGAGCTGTTTCTCTTTCTTCCTCAGTATAAAGAAGAAAGTGTCACAAAATTCTAGGAGTTTGGAAAAATAGTACCACCAAATTGCGTTGACTATCTAAAAAATAAATAAAAAATTATTGTTAGAACTTTGGAAATTTTTGAAAATTGGAAAAATATTTTCATTATTTTCTATTTGGTTTCTGAATTTTTTTTGACATATATACTTAGTAGTTCCTTGATCTAAAAATGTAATAGAACCCAGAATATCGTGTAAATTTTACACAATTTTTTTTAGCTTTTATTTAAATTATGATTGCAATCACCATAAAAAGGACACATAGATAAAATAACATTTGCACTAACCACCGAAGATGACAAAATGCTTGTTTGACTGACAAAAAAGACCCAGAAAACCTGGTAATTTTTTCACACAGGGGCGTCAGTGGCCGCAACGGTTCAGGCGTTGACATTGCGCTCATCAATGTAAGGTAAAGGTCGGGTTCGAATGCAAGACCGCTGGATTCGAACCCAACATACAAATGTTTTTTTTTTCAAAAACACCGACACCTCGAGGGTTCCCACATTTAATTAAAAATTTGTGTTGTAAAAACACACATTTCATCACACTTTTAATTATCTCTGTTTAGAATTGTAAACATTATAAAAAAGTCAAATAGATGAAATAACCCCATAGTTGTACAGATCACTTAAGAAGGTAAAGTTGAAACATGTCTGACAGACAAAATAACCTAAAGAATCTGGTAATTTTTGCACATTTTTAATTAGGTCTTTTTAAACATTGTATCATAAAAAGGGCAAATAGAGAAGTAATATCCTAAGGTGTACCATCCACTGAAGATGGCAAAATGCTTGCCTGTCAGACAAAAGACCCAGAAAATCATGTAATTTTTTACACACAATCTCTGTCGTTTGAACCCTGACATGTAAGTGTTCTGACGTACTATCCATGTTTAAATTTATCATAAAATTATTATCCTCTCAAGCTCAATGTAATATGTAATCTACCTATATTTACAAAAAATCAAGTTATGTGTTAACATTTGCGATAAGAGTTGGTGAGACTTTTCTGAAAACGAAGTGTACTTGCTTCACAAAAGTACGTTATGTCGTATTCAGAAACTGTGTAAAAAAATGACATATTTTTCATTATTTCTCATGGTTGATTAAAAAAATTTACCTCAGGTTTAAAACTTCATTGTACAACTTCGAGTACTTACTCTCATTTCTTCCTGGTGGTTTATGTGCTTGATTGGTTGGCAGACGTAACTATATTTCAGCCTGGTTGATGCGATTAGCAACTAAAAAAAATATTGTTTTGTTAAATTGATGTTTTGGTTTAAATTATAAATAGACGTACCTCAATTGCTATGTATAAGTTAAGTAAGCTCATGGCTAAGTTGTACGGAACAAGGCACCAGTTGAGCTTGAAAGGTTTTCTGTTTTTCATTAGGCGAGGACCTATTCCTACAATAACCAAATATAGGATTGTGTAGAGAAATGTTGGCAAGGGGGAATCAACCATCAACCACCCTTTTGATCTTCGATCTAAAAATAAAATTAAAAAAATAAATTAAAGGAATAAAGAAAAAAAAAAATGAGAACAAACAGGTGATTACATTGTTGTAAATTTCTAAATTGTAAATAATATTGCTTTTTGTATTATTTAATTGTTTATAACAGCTAGAGTATGAGATTATATGTGGGTATGGGAAAATTTTTAGTGAATTATGCTAAAAATAGACATTTTTCATGAAAATTCAACTGGTTTTTGTTTCAGTTTTTGTTCGTTTTCTAGGAGAAAAAGTTTATTTCGATTTACAATTTTTTTTTTTGCTTGGCACACTCCGTTCTGTTTCTTACCATCGGGGACTACGGTAGCCAGGTGGTTAGCGTGGTAGACTCTCGGCTTGTAGACCTTGCGATCGTGGGTTCGATTCCCACTGTCACTCTGGCCTTTTTTTTTCACGATAACCCCCCCCCCCCCATACACATATGCATAATAATTCTTGGCTAATATGCAACAATCATAAAGCCATTAAAATGTTCCACTTGTCTCTCACTTGTCCCAATACAGCTACAAAAAGTTCCATTCTAAAATACCTTATCTTAATCCCCTTGTCAAAAACCTGTTATCCACTACCTTACCAAATAATCCCCGAAGGAGAAGACTGAAGCATCGGTAGCCCCGTAACAATATTTCTTTGCCTTCATAGAATGAATTCATCACGTTGATGGACTGATGGCTTTCATCATTGGGTGATTCCCGCTCATGAGTATATGCTAATATGTAATATTTTATCTGTTTTGAATGTCTAGTCTGGATAAGAATAATTTTATGAGAGAAGTTTTATGTAAGTTTAACAGAAGAAAGGTTTTATTCAACAAATTTTTAATTAAAGTTACTTCAATACTTATAGTGTTAATTAAATTCACTAATTTCGTGGTCCGCTTGATCAATTATATTACAATTAATTAAGGTTTTTAGTTGATAAAAAAGTCAATGGCACGAGCGGGATTCGAACCCACGATCTTCGGCTTGATACGCCGCTGCTCTACCACTTGAGCTATCGTGACCTCGATCCACTCGGATCTCAACCGCACCTTTTGAATTTTCCCTCCTTTTTGCCATTTTTCAAGGCGTATCAAGCCGAAGATCGTGGGTTCGAATCCCGCTCGTGCCATTGACTTTTTTATCTCAACTAAAAACCTTAATTAAGTTAAATAAATTGGTGTCACTATGTAAGATAGCTGTGTTATGAGCAAAACCAAACAATTGACCAAAGATATTTAGTTTTATAATTCATCTATGTAAACCAAAAACAAAATAGGTCCAAGTACAGTCCCTTGCGGAATCCCAGCATGTGAGTGCAATATTTTAAATAGGTTTTAATAAAATTTATAGTAGTTCTAGATACAACGATATCAATTAATTTACTAATTAATAGGGAATTATGAACAGAGTAAAATTTTTTTGTAAAGTTGAGAAATAAACCAATAACTATTTTTTTTGCCGGCTAACTGGTAAGGTCACTGCTTGCTCCTCGTATTTTCAATCTCGTGTTTTTTATTTATTACTAGTAAAAGAGCTGTCATTTATATTTAACCCATCCACAAATTTCCCCTCCAAACACACGCACGCACACGCATGCTGTGGCGGGTCTGAGGGATACTCTAAATTTCGTCTGAGACTCGCCACACACACTCAAACATTTTTGTCAATAAATACAGTCACATCCCAGTGTAAACCAAGTATGAAGGGGTTTCTATATGCAACTATAAACTTGTATTAATTTTAGGTATTCAAATAATGTATCTCTGATGTCTCTGTTAGGGCCTAATATTTTTCTGTCGTCGGAAGATAAGTTGCACTTTTTCCAGTATTCTTGCAGTAGTTAATAGTCAGATATTATATGCTTTGTAGTGACTGTCCTTATAGTGAGCACCGCTTCGTTCTTTTGCTGAGGTGCCCATGGCACGTTCAACTGGCTACGGTCAATCGTCAGGCTGATCAACATTATTCTATTCCTTTTTTTTTTTAATTCTCCAATGCTCATGGTTTCACTGTGCGTTTGATATCTTTTAGCTTTTCGATCTTAGTCATGCAGCAAATTTGCCAGTTGTCCCAACTAATTCTTTTCTTCTCTCTTTTTATACGTCCGCTCTTTCATTCCTTTCAATGGCAACGTGACCCGGGATCCAGATGACGGTGACCTCACTATTATTTTCTTTCAGTGTGATTGATTGCCTGTACATGTCTGTTATTATCAAGATTCTCCATTATAAAGTGGGATATATCAAATAAAGCTTGATCTGAAGATTTGCCAGGCTGGAACCCATATTGATTAGAGGCAATAAGTTTATTTTTTATTAAGTAATTTCTCCCTTGAAAGCCATTTTTATGTAATGGTATGATCATTGATTTCTTAACCGTGTTATACAGCTAGTAGTTAAATAAATTCAAAATTTTTACTTGTTCAACGATGATTGATTCATCGTGTACAGTTTGATTAAGAAAAAATGAACTTTTATTTAATTAAAATTAAAATAAGTACGCTTCATTGCTTTCCGTAAAAGGTCCGTTTTCAGAGAAAGTTTTGTCAAAGGAGAAAACCAATTGATGACTGGCAAAAGGGAATCCGTGCCTAATTATCAATAGCGATATAAATCAAGTTGGAATGTGTTTTATTCTCTAAGCGCCCAAGCCAAAGCATACCGTTTCTCATTTTAAAAGGTTAACGGCCCTGGAATTCATTTCTTTTCAATTACTTTCGAATAAGTCATCTTTTATAAATGTTCACCCCGAGCGAAACAGCCGAACGTATCAAAGGAAGCAGGAAAAACTTCAAATCCTGATTCTCGACAGGGCACTGCGGATTGAATGGGAATATGAAGGAAATTGGTATAACATTGCAAAGGAGAGCAGACCAATATTGTGGTGTATATACCTAATATTTAGTTGCTGGGGCATGAAACAAATCCTTAAAGAATGGAATATGTCCCCCGGACATAGGCAATCGAAGGAGTTTCTGAAGGAAATCAAACCAAAAGAAGCGAAATGGTTATTCTCTAACTCTAGGAGGGGAATTAGGAGGCTGATAGGTATCCTANAAGCAGGAAAAACTTCAAATCCTGATTCTCGACAGGGCACTGCAGACTGAATGGGAATATGAAGGAAATTGGTATAACACTGCAAAGGAGAGCAGACCAATTATCTACTGGTGTATATACCTAATATTCCTACCTGGTATATGTACGTAACTGGTGCCACACTTGCCTTAGGAAGAAGTGTTTTGGGATGTGCAAGATACCCGTAGAAGAAATTCAAAGACTAAAACCGTGCATACTGATTCTTTGATTAACTAGGACACAACGGTTTGCTATAGGTACAGAAAGGGATAAATAGCTTTTACAGGGGGCAGATATTACCCCTACCATTACGTCTACATGTTCAATTCTCAGCCGGCCACAAGAGGAATCGGATTTTTCATGTCAATGCTCAATCAAAACTGAAGCAATTATTGTAGTACTTTTGGCTCTGTGTTTAATGTGTAACAGTAATTGGTTTTTGATGTTGTTCGCAATATGTAAATTAAATTGACTTTATCGTTAAAAAACGACTACACCCTTTGGAGGATTTTGTCTTGTAATGCTTGTTAACTGGGATTACACAGGCTTTTAGCAAATAATGATTGTATGACTATTGAAAATGTTGACAAACTAGTTTGTCATTTCTGCTTATACATTTTACTCTTATTAAAAGAATGATTGCCTAGATGCCATAAAAAACCGTGAAATAAGCCAGACCATATAAACTTTCTCGCCATTTATAAAAAACAGTCCCTGGCTGAGCCGTAACATCTTGAATGAATACAAATACATCGATCAGCTTCAATTAAAAAAAAAAAAGAAAAAGAGAGAGAGAGAGAGAGAGAGAGAGAGAGATAGAGATAGATAGAGAGAGAGACCACATTAGCTGATATGACCTACCTTTTCAAGAGGCAAGAAAGAAAACCGACTATGTGCCGGCTTTGTTCTCCCGGCGCCTTCCTCCATTCAATCGCAGCCACAAAGAAAGTATCGAAAGGTCCGTTTCATCACTCAAGGGTTGTCACGACCGTCGGTAATAAACCGCGTCGAGATAGCGGTTGACAGAAATCGCATGCAAAACGATTCCGAAGACAATAGAACAGGTTTTTATACTGAAATACCCTTCATAACCAGCTCAAGTACAACGGCACAATATTCTAGTCAATCTTTCAATTAACAAAGACCCGCGTGAAGTCAGTAGATGAAAATATAAAGAGGTTACACCGAGAAAAAAAATGTTTACTGAGTACAAAGATATCAGGAGAAAAACGAATACAGTTATGGTATACAGATGACTTCAAAATCTGCGATCCGGGTCAGGTATGGAGCAAACCAAAAAGGTGAACAGTCAAACTCATTAGGTCAGTACACAACGGTCTTTTAAACAGAAATACTGTACCCTAGAAAATCTTGTAACGTGCTTACAAAAAAAATCCTCATAGGATGAGATAGCCAAGCGGGTCTAAAAGCAGCACGTCAAAATATCGTATCCAAAACCTACAACCTCCAACACCTGAGGAGTCAACAAACTAGCAATATCTTGGGTTTTCAATATTAGAAGTATCGAACAATTTTTCACTCACGAACAATCTGGATCAAGGTATGGCCTTGAAGAAAAAAGCAAATTCGACCTATTTTAAGGTCATCATCAGGTCAAAACCATCTTAAATTTGCCTACAGATTGGCATATTTAAGTTTTTTACAGGCCATCTCAAATTTCATTGAAGACCGATTCAGTCTTAGCATTGCCAAAGGACTCCTTTGACCTTGTCAAACATTGTTTGGACATTGTCTTTTTGTCATTGTTAGGACTGAGTCGTGAATATATTGGGTCCTAGGGCACATAGGAATTTACGGGTAATGTACGAACAGACAAACTGGGCAAAGGATCTGCAAGAGCAACTATAGACGGAAAACCTATAAACCAAATCCAGCTCAGAATGGGTACACGAGACAAAAAGAGAAACGGACGAACTCCAACGATGATCAACTCATTTTTGGCTATGTAAAGAGTAGGAAGAAACTGCTTCGTATAATCACATACAAAATGTGTCCGTAAATGCATCCAGAACCTCTAAAACCAGAGAAAACATAACACCCTGACAATATCCTCGGTGCCAAACAAACTGAACAGAGTATCTATTATATCAACTGTATGCCTAGAACGAATATAATTAGGATATTGTCAATCCATCCTGAGACCTACTCTGAAGTAGGTCCGCACAAGATAAAAGTATAAATGGACGAATTATAGAAATGCTGGACACAGTAAACCTACAGAAAAACAGGGTAAAACCCAGGCAGTAATGGTGCCACTGGTATATGAGAAAACATCTACACAACGTATATTCAAGGATAACCTCATTGGTCCAAACATCCAAAGGTTATCCAACGAAGAAGAAACTGCCATCCATATTCACATCCAAAATGTGTCGGTGAATGAATCCAAAATTTAACATAACAACCTGACAATATCTTGGGTACCAGGGTACAAAGGAATTTTGACATTGTACAAGCAGGCAAACTGGTCAGAGGATCTGCAAGGTCAAGGTTCACACAAATAAGGAGAAATAGATGTACTCTAGAGGTTAACAAACGGTCAAACAAGCCAGAGATCTTCAAAACCAAGGTCTAAAACCTATAATTGGTATAAGAAGATCAAACAGACTCCTCCGATTCAGAATGAGTCCACAGGAAACAAAAGTGGACCAACTCTAGAAGTTAACAAATAGACAAATAGGAGGTTAAATAATAGACAAAGAGGAAGATCTTCAACACTAAGACCCCGAACCTACATTGGCGAAAATAAGACCTCCATTTCCCAAGGGATTAACAACAAAAAAAGAAGAGAAATCGACAAACTCTAGAGGTACCAGATATAGTAAACCCATGGTTAAAGAGCCCTCGTCAAAACTGGGCAACATTCAGCTAAATAGACTAAAACTAAGAGGAATGGTTCTATACCGGTCACTGGCATATGAGAAAACATACACAACATAAATTCAAGATGATCCCATTATTACCAAGAAGACCCTGAAAAAAGAATTGCAGCAGCCTTATCCTTCTTAAAAAAGAGATTCGAGTCAGTTGAACTGCATCGAGGAGCTAAAAAAAGGTGCGATAACCCACAAGGTTGCGGTGCTTGGGGAATATTTTATATATATGTCCTTATCTTATAACTCTATTCCTTACCCTCATCATCATTATGAAAAGAAAATGACGATATACCCTGGCATAATTGACAAGTGATTATCACTTATTATATTAATTAAATTAAAAAAACAACTTGAAATTACAGTGTTTGTAAATTGTAACTACCAGCGAGGATGCATGGAAAAGGAATAACAAAAGGTAATAAATCTCGTTTAATTGCGACCCCTTTTCTATTTGGGTTTACTACTATCATAAAAGTCTAGACTCAAGTTCATAAGCATATATTATTTTATTGCTCACACAGCGAAGGAATCACATTCTTAACCATATCTGTCCTTTAAAGGGCCCGCCTATAGACTTTATTATCATTCGATGAATATGATTTCCCGTCAGACAACGGTACATGTACATTCCTTTATTGTACAAGCTGTCAAAAAAAATTAATATTTCCCGTTGCTTCCAAATGTATTTATTTAGTTTAGAACAAATGAGGAATTGGAGGGGCTTGGTTAGATTCGTAATCACGTTGACGTTCTTCAATTCCAAATTCCAAAAGCAACGCACAATTCTGTAGATCGTACATGAACGCCATGACTTCGAACCCAGGACATCTTACAATTAACTAAGGAAACAGATCTATTACCGTTGTACAAATATTTATATATATAAATTGTGAATGTTGACAATAGCTGGTGAAGAAAAAGCGACAATTTTTAGCCTAGATTTCCCTAAAACAATTTAATCATCATGTCAGTTAGACCATTTCTTCCACGTTTCGTATGGTTATAAAATTTTCATTTTTAAATAACCCAATAGTAGATCATCAGAAATGTGGTCGGTATGAAAAAGAAATCATTATAAAATGAAGAAACAGCGACCTGATTGTATTAATAATTATTTCATTCCTCAACCATGTTGTTTTCTCAATGAAACGTCCTTCCTAACCTTACCTAACCTAACATGTCCGTAACTCCAACCCTAACCATTCCTAACCTAACTTAACCCAACACTAACGCGAAATCGATGACACCAACCAAATTCGTGTATTTAGCCCAAAATCATATCGATGTTCAAGAAGTTAGCGGTATAAAAACATTTTCCCTAGCCTTTCCTAACCTAACACGTCCCTAACTCCAACCCTAACATTCTTAATTCAACCTAACTCAACACAACAGTGACGCGAAAATTACCAGACCAAATTCGTATATCCAGCTCCAAACCGTTTCCATGTTAAAAAAAGTTAACGCTAAAAAAATATTTTATCTAATCTAATCTAATCTTAACCTTATCTAACCTAAAACGTCCAACCCTAACCTAACATAACTCAACCCAACCTAACCTCAAAATCGTTGATGCGAGGATGGTCAGGCTAACCAAATTCGTGTATGCAGCCCTAAAAAGACATCTGTGTTAAAAAAGGTAGCAGTATAAAAATGTTTTCTATTCTAAAAATAAGCATCCATTTTTCAGGCATAAAAAAAGTCCAAGACAGTGTTTTAAAGCTGTGATTTTCAATTTCACAGTGATGTGTTTAGAATGTTTATAACATCCTTATGTAATTTTTTGGTTTGATTTTATGCAAACAGTTTCCTTTTTATTTAGAGGTTTTGATATACTGTTCAGACGGTCCATATCGTTAATTGATATGACGAGATGACGAGTTTAAAAACTTTAAAATGACAGCGGGAAAATTATTCAAGGAAAGGTACAAGTTATCTAATTAATTTTGCAAAATCATGTGTCCATGGTGTTTGTGACATTTAAAAACTTATCCCAGAACCTGAAACAGCGAGAACACACGGACCGAAATGATCAGAGGCGATGATAAGACAAGGGGGGACAGAAATTTACCAGATTGACATATTAAATTTTTTAAAAGACTGTGGTGGCCGATCAGGGACAGACTTCCACATTATTTGGAATTTTATTTGACAATTTGAAACGCTTGTTCGAGAAACATTACAAAATTTGTAACTGGTTTTCGCGTTACCCAGGAGTCCTGTTAGGTTAGGTAGGGTTAGAGAAGACGTTTTATTGAGATTACAACATAATTGTGGAGATACCGGGAGTGCCCACGGGCTGGGATAGGTTAGTTTAGCATATACAACTTTGGTTATGCTGACCATTCTCGCATCATCGATTTTGCGGTTAATGTTGGGTTGAGTTATGTTCGGTTAGGGTTGGAGTTAGGGACGTGTTAGGTTAGGCAAGGTTAAGATTAGGTTAGATAGAGTTAGATATGTGTTTGGTTAGGTATGGTTGGGTTAGCGTTAAAAAGGCCGATTAATTCAGGAAACAACATTGTGGAGTGAAATATGGATTAAAAATTGAATTAAATCTCCATATTTCTCTGATGTGACGAGCTACTTCATGGCAATCGGGACTCTTTTTTATTAAATAATTGTCCACTCCCCCTACATTATCTAATACCGGATTATTTAGAAAATAAAATTTATGAAACTTTTACGCCCATAATATCTAAATATCATATTATACGACATAGTGTCTGCTTACACTCAACTAGATCTTCAAACTATTCTGCGATCAATCAAGAACGAATTTTTAAAAAGATCAGACTACCTCATAGCAAATCATTGGCAAAAACATTGAATAGTTATTTTGTAAAAATGTTTAAACGTTATGTACTGACGTGTTACGATGTGAAAAAAAAATTCATGACCCCAAATTTTTTTTTGGGCTTTTTCTTCACCAGCTATTGTCATTATTCACAATTTTGAATATGTACTTTTTTGTCCAATGGTTTCAGTTCTTTTTGCATAGTCGAGATGTTCTAGGGCTCGAAAGTCTTGCCTACGACGTGCTACGGAATTTTCTTTTGACGGGAGTTTTCTTTCGGACGTTTGTTCTCAATATTTTTCCGAAAGGGGGTTAATTATTATGGGGTACATAGATATGCAGATAATGTTTGGGCAATATTGGACACTTTTTCTCAGCCCATTGTCGACTCTAAGTAAAATTAATACTTTTAACATGCGGCTATAGTCATATAACGTTATCAGACTGTACCGCTGAAACGGCTATGGGTCCGTCTACACTCGCTGATTATAAGGTCGCTTAGGTGTAACTCAAGGAAATCTTTGTTAAGTCTGTCTTTCTTCATGTATAATGAACGTATTACTGTTTGTTTTTACTAGTAAATATCCCTAAAAATTTTTTTGATCTGGTTGTAATATAATATATACACATCATTATTTTAATTTATTTATCAACTTCAAGTAGGGGAGTAAATGATACGTATTGCTAGCCATTATGAGCGTATTAATGAAATAAAATCATACTAGAGTGGACTTAACTTGTAAAATAAAAGTGGTATGGTTTGTCCTTAGACTAGGATAGACTAGGTC